GTGTGTGTGTGTGTGTGTGGAGAGGAGTTGTGCAATATCCAATATTAGCCATTGGATAACACCAAGTATTGTACATATTTGTCATATCAGTGACAATGTTGAAGTGAGAAATTGTGTAAAATAGCCAAAGACTGGATAAACATAATAATTGAATCAACTATTTTTCAGTGAATCAGGCCATCTTAACAACCAGTTTCAATGTGATTCGAATTGTTCAATTATCAGTAAGAGAAGCCAGAGTGTCCTAATTATTTTCCATTTGTTCTACATTACACTTGCAATTGAATAAGTAAATTTATATTAATATGATGAAATTATTTTGCTATAGTAATTTCCTTCAGTTAGATGGATTATTTTGGTGGGAAACACACATTAGTCTTTAGAATATTGTTGACAAACAAGCATCAAATAAAATGAATTGATTAAATAAAATAATGTCATAGATATTGCAGGATACAGACTGATTGTAATAAGCCAAGCTTTATAAGAAGCTTTGGACTAGTCACTCACTGTATAGGTAGTCTTCAGAAATAGAACTGAACACAAGCAATCAGTTTGTAAAATCACAAATAACCTATGGTCCTAAATACGCAAAATACCATTTGTAAGTTGCCTTCCTCCATGTAACAAAGACCCAAGTTATACAGACAGTCTGCTGAAATAGCCGTGGCATTTGGGCCTTTATCAGAATGAGAAAAGATATCCAATGTCTTCTTAAATATTCTCACAGCTTCCTATAAAGAAAAAGGGGGGGGGAGAATGTTTCTTTCTAATATTTATTAACATTACAGCCTTAAATATTAAAAGGAACGCAGAGCACACACTTCTACTCTCATTTCACAGAGACACACAGGCCTGGTAAAGCCACAGACCTTGCTAGTACAAACTCAGAAAAGGACCCAGATTGGGAGTCTGATAGCCCCGTGTCCCACCAGAGGCCTATCCTACAGGCCAGTCATAAGTAGGCTTACACACATGGATTTTTAGAGGCTATTTTCCTGTAGTCTTAAGTCAGACTTAAATTTATGAACTAATTTATTGCCAATCTCCTAAGAATTTTCTTGAATGGAATATTGGGAAGCTACTAGGTAGTAAAAGATCCCCACTGATAATATCAATGCAAGTTTAATCTGTTTTTCTTTTGTCCTGTTGTGCTCCTAATGGGGTTCCATTGGCACCAGAAAATAAATTATCATCAAAAATCATCCATTTAGATTTAGTCAAAATAGTTGAAACTCATTAATGAAAAAAATTCAATTTTCTAAATAGAAATGACACTTAATAATTAACTAATCATTATATGTATTTATATAGAAATAAAAACACTTGTTACTGGTTGTCTCGTTTTCTTAATTGTATTAAATTGCAAAAGAAACAATGAGATTTAGCTTAGACATGCTAAATAAATGTCCTTTATTGCTCTCCTTCAGTATTTACTCCACACGTTTACAACTCACCTCAACAACCATCCTTTTGTCCTCACTCAGCACATGACCTTGCCATAGAAAAAGTGGATTATCCTCTCAATTTCTCTCCTTTCTACTTCTCAATGTTTCTATGGCTTCATCCATTCTCACCTTTTTCTCCTCTTTCTTTCTTCTTCTTTGCAGACTCCTCAAGCTGCGTCCTTGACCCCATCTCCTTCTGCCCCACCTGAGCACAGTCTGCTATTCCCTTCCCTGTTTGGATCTCTCCCCCTTCACTGCCTCCTTGAGTCCATAAAAACTTCAGTCTACTCAAGCCTTCCATCCCATTTAAATTAAAATGAACACATCTTTGCTTCCTCCTGCTTCCCCCATCTCTCTCTCCCTCACTACTCCAGGAAGTCTCCCCAGGGAGATGTGGAGGGGCTTGCAGATAAGGCACATTCCTGCTCTGAAAACAATACTGTGGCTGCTGTGTGAACAAAAGCTTGGAAGAAGCAACAATGCTGCTATGATTCAAGAAAAATTTTTAAAAATTATACGTTCTGAACAGGGTAATGACCACAGAAATAGAGAAAGGAAGTGGATTTGAGAGATATTTGGAAAGTAGAACTAAGAGAACATCATTATTGATTGGGTGGAAGAGGGCAGCCAAAAGTGACATCAGATGTCCAGCCAGAGTGAAGGGCCCAGGGGTGGGGAAGGTTAAAGCAAGCATAAAAGAGCATTCCTCAAAACCTGAAGAGAGCCGGGCCGTGGCTCACGCCTATAATCCTAGCACTCTGGGAGGTCAAGGCGGGTGGATTGTTTGAGCTCAGGAGTTCGAAACCAGCCTGAGCAAGAGCGAGACCCTGTCTTTACTAAAAAAAAATAGAAAGAAATTATCTGGACAGCTACAAATATATAGAAAAAAAAAATTAGCCAGGCATGGTGGCGCATGCCTGTAATCCCAGCTACTCAGGAGGCTGAGGCAGAAGGATCGCTTGAGCTCAGGAGTTTGAGGTTGCTGTGAGTTAGGCTGACTCCACGGCACTCTAGCCCAGGCAACACAGTGAGACTCTGTCTCAAAAAAAAAACAAAAACAAAAACCTGAAGAGACCAAAACTTCAAATGTGGACAAAAAGTAGACAATGATCCATACTGAGAAAGGACGACTGAATCGGCAATGAGAAAGTCATTAACAAAAATAGCAAGAGTGCCTCATTCCAAACCAGGGATGCATTCATTTTCTACTGTTGCAAATCAAATTATCACAATTTAGCAGATTAGAGTAACAAGCATTTATTATCTCACGGTTTCCACAGGTCAGGAGATTGGGCCTGGCTTAGCTGGGTCCTCTGCTCTGGGTCCCATAAGGCTGCAATCAAGCTGTCAGTTGAGCTGTTTTCTCCTCCAGAAACTCTACTGGGGAGAATCAACTTCCAAGCTCATGCATGCTGTTGGCACAATTCATTTCCTTGAGACTCCAGAACTGAGAGCCCCGGCTTTTTGCTGGCTTTCGGTTGCCCTCAGATGCGAGGATCTGCACACAGTTCCCCGCTACCACATCACCCTCCCCACAGGCAGCCACAAAAAGGCCAGCAGGAGAATCTCTCCAGTCTGCTAAGGAGTCTTACACACTGCAACATAATCAAGGGAGTGGCATCCCATCAACTTTGCCATATTCTATTGGTTAGAAGCAAGTCGCATGTCCTGCCCACACTCAAGGAAAGGGAGGAGATTATACAGGGCATGATTCATTGACAGTAATTTTAGGGTGTGTCCACCAGAGTCCACTCTCTGGCCTCCAATGATTCAATATTGCTGCCACATACGAAATACATTCCTTCATTCCAAGGTCCCCAAAAGTCTCATCTCATTGCTGCATCAGCTCAAAGTCTACAATATCATCATTTAAAGAAGGTTCAAGTTTAGATGAGGCATTTGAGTATAATCCACTAAGTACCACTCCTGGGGCACAATTCTTCCCTATCCTATGAAATTAAAAGGACAAGTTTTCTGTCTCCAAAACACCAACATGCAATGGTGAGACAGGCATAGGATAATACTGGCAGACATTCTGGTTCAAAAACAGGGAAATGGGAGATAAAAAAAGGAGTCACTTGTCCATGGCAATTCTAAAATACATTTGGGAAAATATCCGGAGTCTCTTGATTAGTTTTCAAAGAATAATTTTCTATGGCTCTTAGGCCTGTCCTATGTGTTCTTGGTCTTGTCTGGGTTATCCTTCCTTTTTTAAAGAGGTTGCATATGTTTGCAGCTGAGTTGTTTTATTAATATGCTTCTTTCAAGTATAATTTTGAGGTCTGACAGCCTTCTTTCATTTCGTACTCTCTCTCTGTCTCTTTTAGTCCAAACTGGCAGTGTTTATGAAGAAATAATTCTTTCAAAAACTTTGGAGACCTTCCATGGATTTCACAGGGATTCACTCCATTAGACAAAAGCCGCATCCACTAATTTTTCAAGAAAATTCCTTGCCTACTTTGGCCTCATGCTGAGATGTCTGAGGGAAATTGTCCTTAAGCTTCTAGAGGTCCTCCGGTTTGGGTAATAAGATTTGTAAGGCATGTCCTTAATGTCTTGAAAGAGACCTAGTATGACAGAATACTCTGATCTTAGGATCTTTCTGAGATCTTGGCAAAGGGCTGTCCAGCCACACCGGGGCCTTTTCTCTAGATCATGCTTTCCTGAAAGTGAGTATTTGATTTTATCATCTTTTGCCATCTGGAGAAGTTGAGAATTCTCAACATCATCAAGTCCTGGCTTATTCTCTTCAACCGTTCTTAATTTCTCTCTCTCCTCTCACAAGAAGCAAGATGAGACCTGGCAGCACTATCAACATTTTGCTTGGAAATGATCTCAGTTATATATCCAGGTTCCTGACTTACTAGTTCTGCTTTCCATATACCTACAGGAGGCAATTTTGCTAAACTTTCTACCACTACATAAAAAGGAACCTCTTTCCACTAGTTTCCAATAATATGTTGCTCACTTGCTTCTGAGTCCTCACTCATTAGCAGTGTCTTCAAAGACCAGATATCTACTAACAGTCTGTCTCAGATGACTTGAGCTTTCTCTGCCATGCTCCTCAGAATTCTTCCAGCCTCTGCCCACTGCCTGATTCCAAAGGTGCTTCCACATTTTTAGGTATTTGCTATAGCAGCATCCACTTCTAGGTACTAAAATCTGTGTTAGTTTCTTATTGCTGCCAAAAAAAAAAAAAAGAAATGACCAAAAATGTAATGCCTTAAAACAGTACACAGTTACTATGTCATAGTTTCCATGGGTCAGGAGTCTGGGCATAGCTTAGCTGAGTGCTCTCCTTAGGGTCTCCCAGGCTGCAATCAAGGTGTCAACCAGGCTGCATTCTCCTCTGGAGGCTCAGTTACAGAAGTATCTTCTTCCAAGCTCATTCTGGTTTTGGCAGGATTCATTTCCTTATGGCTGTTTGACTGAGGGTCCAAGCTTCTTACTGGCTGTTGGCTGGAAGCTGCCCTAAGTTCTTTGAGGCCACAGCAGTTCCCTGTCATGAGACTCTCTCCACAGGCACCTCACAGTATGGCTTGCTGTTTCCTCAGGGCCAGCAAGAGAATTTCTCTCTCCAATCTGCCATGAGAGAGTCTTACATAACCCAATATGATCATGGGAGTGACATCCCATCACCTTGCCGTATTCTGCTAGTTAGAAAGTCACAGGTTCCATCCACACTCAAGGTCATACAAGGGTACAGTTTATTGGGAGCCACCTTATGATGCGTCCATCATAAGAGTATAGAGGCAAGATTGTAGTGAGTACAAGAATGAGCAGCAAGTGAGGAAATTGAGATAATGAATGTGAAATAAAAGAGGAAAAAGTCAATAATTGGAGATGTCAAGGAGGCAAAAATAAAGGAGGTTTTCTTCAAAAAATTAAGAATAGTTACTCATGATTAAATGCTTATGGAAAGAAACCTATAAAGAGGCTAAAAATACTTCAGGAAGAAAAAATAGAAAAAATAATAAAAGCTAATGTTTAGCAAATGTTTACCATGTGCCAGATATTAAAGTTGTGAGAAGATATGCAGCATGTAACCCAGGGTTAGCATACAGAATTCATACTTTAAATGCCTAAAATCAATAAAAAATAGAAAAATGAACAAAAAATGCATATAGAAAATTGATAAAACAGGAAATGCTAGTGGCTGATAGACATGCAAAGATGTTCAAATTGAGAAATGTGAATTAAGATCACACTGAGACACCAGTTTTTATCCACCACACTAGTAAAAGTAAATTCTAACAATATCAATTATTGTAGAGGATGCAGATAAA